AACAAGAAGCCTTCGTGATTGAAGTTAACATTAATAAAGTGTTGCGCGGTGTTGCGCGGTCTATCGACAAGTACTATATTTTTATTTTTCAAGAAAAAGTAAATGGTATGTTGCAGAAATGCAACAAGTGCAACCAAACGGTTAATACTAACGGGTGATCCAAGTAGAGGTACTTTTTCAATAGCCTTTTTTGGCCAGATCACGCGTGAGTCGTGTCAAGCAGTCATGTTATTTTTGTTCAGTATTGTTTGGCATTTCATCATGGAAAGACTTACGCTTGAACAACTCGACTGGATTTGCAGCACATCTGTTAAGGCTGGTGTCGCAGTACTGCGTTGGCAGCATGGGGCCACGTTACTCGTGGTCCACTCTCTATGGATCTTAAGGCCTGAACTGATCTTAAGATGGCTCCATCCATTGCATGTATTGCACCTAACCGAGGTGGAGTTTGGATGGAGCCTTTTGGCGCATATGCAGCAAAATAATTTCTCGGGGCCCGGGTTGGACTCGGAGGATACGGAGCAACCCTCCTGCTAGGTGTTGCTCTAATGACGAAAAACTTAAAGTAACACTTTCCGATCCAAACAGGGTTAGATCGCCGAAATAACAGCCCTTGGGCGGATAAAATCCGGGTCAATTCCGGCAACGTAGAGCCGGCTGTTGTGGGAATTGATTCTCCCCGGCTCTTGTATTCCGGTTAGCCTTACCACCTTTTGTAGTGGACGCAGACATCGGCGTTTAACGTACATGCTTTCTTTCGTCAACCATGCATACTGGTGTCTTAGTCGTAATCGTTTGTAGTAGACCTCGAATTGAACTGAAAATTATTCGTCGGAGAGAGATCTCAATCGCACAGTTGTGGAACCTTCAGTCTAGGCAGGTGCACTGGCGCCTATACCTTCTACTCGGATTTCGCCCGGAGTTCTACGAAGATTCAAAATTTTAAACATGGATTAACTGAGGAACCTCACCTAAGATCCGATGAGCATAAAGCACGGCATTCGTACAACCTTTCATAACAATCGGAAAGGAGAACCTTGGCCGTCGCAAGTAAGATGATCCGGTCACCTTGCACAACTAATGACTGGACTTCAGCTATGTGCCATTATCGGGGGCGGTAATACACCTGCGATCCGGTAGAACTGGGGTTCACCGCAGCACTTTTCCTAGATGCCGATACGGTGCCTGGTAGCGTGTTATGCCCCTGCTGGCAAAGCGAGAACACAACAGAAGTACACTAACGAACGGTATGCCCTGACCGTAAGCAATTGAAACATAGTCCTCAGACGTTGTACACTTTCCTAGCGTTCCTGAACTTGCATGTTTTGAAAACACTTTATTAGACGATGGTTCCCTAAACAGTGAGGGCAAGCAACGTTTATGGAGGGTGCGTTAATAAATTGAGTTCATTCACGTGCGCTGTAACTGTACGAGGCAGTACTTATGTTATTGGCACGTCGCTCTTGGAATAACAGCAAATCTTCTAGCTTCGGTATGCTTACGGTAGTGAGGCTCATTCCCAATTCGCTCCGCGAAGTTACAATTAACGATTGATCGTAGCGTATTTGGAGTCTCTGCTGGGTTGTTTGGCTCTGGACATGTGTTTCTGACAATAGGCGTGGATTGCCATAACGTAACTTTAGCTCAGATTACACCTCGTGGTAGCCACCAGTATATAATCCTCCAATCATCGGAACACTCTCTTGATCGACACACTGGCGCAGCCAATTTATATGCAGGATCCAGGTCTGTCCGGTTGTGAACCATTGGTTCAAATAGGTCCTTAAAAGCCAACCAGAACCTGCGTTCTGAATTTCCTTCACAAGGCGAATAATTGAAGCGTGCGACGGTGCATATACATATACATATACACTCAATATAGCGGTAGTGAGTTCAATTCCTCACAGGTAGCACCAAAAATTTATAAGATTGAATTAAAAGAAAATCCGTTTGTTGGTTCTTCATCTGTCTTCCCTTTATTTTTAGCACTGACCCAAAATCCGTACAGGAAATTATATGATTGGTTGTCAATTATACTTGACATATGTACATATATATGTAAACTAATTATGTTCCAGGAATAGAGCTTATCGGCGAATTGCAAAATGTTATTTATTAATTAGTGTATTCAATCCAAAATATTAGAACAGAAACCTATTTATTGGCACTCATCCATGCTTTAGTTTGTCCCTTGAATTTTTTTTTATTATGAACTATTTTAAATGAAACTCAAAATCAAAGAAAAATAATGACCATTATGTTGTGTTATTGTAAGGAAATACATAATCTAATAATGTATGCAAAAACTTTTTATTTGATTTCTTTGTTTCAAAAAAACCGCAACATTAAAAAACTACTAAGTGGTGCTTTATTTTTAGCCAATACTCATTACTGGGTAGTTAAATTACTTTGCAAAAGTCAAAAAAAATAGTTTCCCATACAAGCACTTGCTTCCCATTGTTAAATTTTTATGGCAGCTATATGCTATAGTGTTCCGTAAAAACTGAGGGACTAGTTCGTATATATACAGACAGACGGACATGGCTAAATCAACTCAGCTCATCATGCTGATTATTTATGTATATATTTCATAGGGTTTCTGACGTTTCTGGTTATTACAAACTTCGTGCCAAACTTATTATACCCTGTTCAGGGTATAAAAAACAAATTTTCAATAATTAATTTTAGCATTGTGAAATCATTGTCTAATGTAATTATGAAGAACACCGTCAATAAAATGGGCTTCGTCATATTTATTTATTTTATTTTTATGTGTTACATTTTTCGCGAATAGACGGACTTAGCTACAAATGTTCATTAAAAAAAATACGCATATAAATCTTAAGCTTCTGGATAAATTTGTTTTTAATGTTTATTGGAATACTCACCTGTGTAAATAATTTATTATATCCACTTTGGTAACTAGAATGGCCTAGACCAAATCTAGGTTCACGGCTAGATGCAACCAGTGGAGCATCTGTAGATGGTCCTCTCTGCACCATGGGCCTATCGGCCCTACAATCTTCTTCGAAAGATATCTTGATGTTATAACAAACAATAATCAAACATTCACCAAATTTGGTGATAGGAGTATGTTATGCACAGAAATATTTTAAATGTGAATCCAAGGTAGATCAAATTGCAAACACTTCACATTTCTTGTTAACAATTACTCTTTATAAGAAACTCAATCGACACTGATTTATCACTATAAATATAGGCATATGTAGCTTCAAAAGATTTTATAATAGTTATGCAGTTTTTATTTCCTGTAAAAACAACAACCAGGTAAATACTTTGCGTTTAATTCAGAGTGCGAATTTGCACACCTGCTCGAGTTAAGGAACGTATTACTTATAACATTAGGGTCGGCTTTAGTATACCCACGATTTCAGGGTTAGAAGGGGTATGGTTGGATAGAGAAGATTCACCAGATAAAGAATATAAAGGGTGTTTTTTTTTGAGGTATAGAACTTAAAGATGGCATTACTCTTCAAGATGGCGACCGATTTAACAGCTGTCAAGTGATTTATTCTCAGTGTGGTTTGACAATTCATCATGAATAGACTCACACCTGAACAACGCTTGCAAATAGTGCAATTTTATTTCGAAAATAATGGTTATGTGCGGAATACGTATCGCGCACTACGTTCATTTTATCGTATGATGCGATGAAGCGCCCTTCTGGTTGAATGGCTACGTCAACAAACAAAACTGCCGCCTTTGGAGTGAAGCTAATTCTCAAGTGTATGTCGAAACACCGTTACATCCAGAAAAACTGACTGTTTGGTGCGTTTTATGGGCTGGTGGAATCACTGATCCGTACTTCTTTAAAAACGATGATGGCCTGAACGGTACAGAGCCATGATTACTAACTTTTTCATTCCTGAATGGAACAACCATGATGTCCAGGAGCTGTGGTTCTAACAAGACGATGCAACATGTCACACAGCTCGTGCCACAATCGATTTATTTTAAGACACCTTTGGTGACTGCCTAATTTCACGTTTTGGTCCTGTGAATTGGCTTCAAAATCTTGTGATTTAACACCGCTTGACTACTTTCTGTGGGGTTATGTAAAGTCATTGGTCTATGCGCATAAGCCACAAACGCTTAACCATTTGGAAAACAACATTCGCCGATATACGGCCACAAATATTGAAAAAAGTCATCGGAAATTGGACGTCCAGATTAGACTACACTACATCCGAGCCAGCCGTTGAGGTCATATGCCAGAAATCATATTTAAAATGTAATGCCACAAGATTATCTTTCGGATAAATAAAATTCATGTCAATCGAATAATCCATCGTTGTTTTATTGCAATTTAAAGTTCTATACCTTTCAAAAAACACCCTTTACATAATTAAATCGCCCGGAAACTTATAGTTTTCGAGATATTTGCATTTTAAGTTGAAAATTTCACAAATTTTATCTTACAATTTCTCGATTTATAGTTAAATTTTCTTTTATATTTTGCACTTATTATACACTTACACTTCACTACAATGTTTCTATATATATATATATATTTTACATTAATTATTTTAATATTTGCTTTCAATAAGCATTTTATTTTTACTCAATTTTCGTTATATGCACAATACCAAATGGGTTCCATGTTGACAGTTAATAAGAGTTGCCATATCCAAAAAAATTAAAGCATTCAAATATAGTACTCTAAAATTAGTATGTGTGCATTTCATTATAAAGCAAACTCTCATCTATTGGGTGTATGCATTAATTCGTGCGTTTTTTTCTAAAAATAAGACTTTATTGTGAAAAAATTGTTACACAATTTATGTTCAAAGTATTGCCCATCGGAAGTTACCTTTGAAATGAATACAGCCACAGATGAACACGACGCGAAATAATTCTAGTAGAGCCCTCTCTGAAAACCAAACGCATAACCCAATACCTGTTTCAAAATTTTTGATAATACTCAAACACATTTTTTTATACATATGAATTCATAATCAGTTTTATTCTAAACTTTGTGTGAACGCCATTGCCAAGGGAAAAAGTCACAAATTTGTGTTTTTTCATCGTGAACTTCACGTGGGTAAAATCTCCCATATTCAAAATCTTTCCCTAATCATACATTTATTGTATATATAATTTTTTTTTTATGTGTGTTTTATATATGAACTAAGACCTATTAGTAAAATAAAGTTGACGTTTTTGGTCAACACTAAGGTCGAAAATCCTGATATAGGAAAGATTTGAAAACATAAAACAAGGAGGAAAGGGTTAAAAATAAAAAACAAGAATATGCATGTATTTCGGATGAACTTACATGATTCTTCCAATAGCCAGAGGGCACCATCGGGGCTCAATGTGTGTGCCATTCAAGAAGTTTTTTAAATTTATTCCTTCAAATATACCACTGCATTTTTTTTCTGTAGTGGAAAACGGAAATTGGACGAGCACGGAAAATTGTTATCTGCATAATTTATACAGCTAATACTTAAAAGGTCTAATTAGATCAAAGAAGATATGTATATAATTAAAAATAAAAGCGCCATTTTAAGCTAAAACAGTCACATAATTGGATTTTATATAAACAAATTTTTTTTCAATGCCAATAAATCAAAACAAAAACATGTGTGACAGATTGCTGAAGTTCACAATAACATAATCGAAATTGGAACATAAGTTTTCATTCACACGAAATTCGTGATGCGACTTTTTCGGTCGCATGAAAATATAAACACATGGGATTTATTTATTCACACGAATCTTACAATAATGTTGAATGAGTAAAATGTTCCCCTTTTGCGAAACTATCGTATGTTGCAAATATCAAATTTTACAGGAAAGCGTTTTTTTTTTGTTTTTTTTTCCAATTCGGCTTAGGGCATTGCTTCTAAATATCAACAATAATTATGAATTCTGCTTATTTTTGTAAATATTGCCACTTGATGGCACATACGATAAATTCGTGTTTATTTAATAAAATTATTTAGTAGTGATAATGTTAAATTTAAGAGTCTTCATTGGATTCATTTAAAACATCTTTTATATGTATTGACTGTTTTCAATTTAGGTGATCCATATGATATTTATTAAGGATACTTTTTTTGATGCAAACTATTTTTTAGGTCATTAAATTTTACTTCAGCACTATAATTAAACTTATTTAGATAATTAAAATTATCACAATATCCATATTTTAGGTCATTAAATTTTTTTGTTGAAATGCACATAAGGGTTTTTATACAATACTATTTCAGCACTATAATAAAATTTAGATAAATAAAATTATCACAATATCCATATTTTAGAAATATTAATAAAATTGCTTTTTTTTAATGAAATGACTCAATTGTGATATGTATCGAATACACGGGCATCGTGGTAGATCCGGAAGCAAAAAAAACTAATTTTCAACCGCTTTGTTGCTATTTTGGCCAATGCAAATGTCTCAATATAGGTCTACTATATACAATATTTATAGAGAGTCGAAGATATTTCATTGCATCCTCATTTACCGTTTTGCTCGCCTCGCTCCATTAAAAAAAGTATTTACTTCTGGTACCATTCTCATATACGCTAAAATTAATGTACGCTAATTTTCGGGCGTAAAAAAGTTCCATAATACTCAGAAACATACAGTAAATTATTGGATGTATGTTAAAGAAAGCAACACAAAAATATTAATATGTTTATTTTATGTTGATGATACACTTAAATTACTCTGACATTTACAAATACTAATGACGGGATTTAGTGCTAAACTACGCTTTATTAAATAATATGAATTAAGGTTCTTTTCATCAAAATGTTAAGAGATACTATTTCGACCAATGAACAAAATAAAGCGATGGAACAGTAATAAAATATGACACGGGATTAAAACGCTTTTATCGCCTATATCCACTTTGTTTTTAAGGTGATTCTAATTTCTGAAAAATTCTAGTTTCTGCATTTTCTTTTATTTGTATATGTACGTATGTATAAAAAAAAAATGGGTTAAACTTACCCAAAAAAACTACAATGAATTTATTTTTTGTTTCATTCTAATTATAAAAACCAAAAAACAAAAGGCAAAAATCCAATACAATACATATCACATTTTCTTGTTTAATTAAACATATGTATACACTAAATTAAAAATAAGTGCAACAAAACAAAACAAAGCAGAGATGCACCCTAATTACATTAATCATATTTTTCCTGTTAAAAATTAAAAAAAATCGGTATGTGCTCAGAAAAAAAAAGAAGATAATTACGATAACTTTTAAAGCTTAGATATTAATTATAAAATAAACGGCTTGGTTACCAATTTCACCTTTAACTGAATTTATTGCGGCAGTGTTGCCTTTAGTGAGAAAGCATCACGTTTAATGTGAAAATTCTGGCAACAGTGCCTACGTCACATGTGCAATCGGTTAATTGAGAACTCAAAGACAAATGATCCGAACATCATGAAATTTTTTTCTGCCCGTTCTGAATATAATTCCAATCGGTTTTTTGACCAAAAAACGAATTTTGGAAAGCCAACAACGAACAAAATTTGGCGTAAAATTCAATTTTAAAAACGTCGCCATTTTGTCAATTATTAATTTTTATACTCTCGCAACCTGTTGCTACAGAGTATAATAGTTTTGTTCACCTAACGGTTGTTTGTATCACCTAAAACTAATCGAGTTAGATATAGGGTTATATATATATAAATGATCAGAATGAAGAGACGAGTTGAAATCCGGGTGACTGTCTGTCCGTCCGTCCGTCCTCTAACTTGAGTAAAGATTGAGATATCTTTATGAAACTTGGTAGACATGTTTCTTGGTACCGTGAGACGGTTGGTATTGCAGATGGGCGTAATCGGACCACTGCCACGCCCACAAAACGCCATTAATCAAAAACAAATAACTTGCCATAACTAAGCTCCGCAATAAGATACAAGACTGTTATTTGGTACACAGGATCACATTAGGGAGGGGCATCTGCAGTTAAAACTTTTTTTTTAAAAGTGGGCGTGGTCCCGCCTCTAATAGGTTTAATGTGCATATCTCCTAAACCGCTAATGCTATAATAACAAAGTTCACTAGAAGCAAATGTTTTTAGCACTTCTATTGACGGTGTGAAAATAGTTGAAATCGGGTGGCAACTCCGCCCACTCCCCATATAACGGTACTGTTAAAAACTACTAAAAGCGCGATAAATCAAGCACTAAACACGCCAGAGACATTAAATTTTAGCTCTGAGATGGTATAAATTGGCTTTATAGGAACCGCGTTCAAATTAGTCAGTGGGCGTGGCACAGCCCACTTTTAGGTGAAAACCCATATCTTGAGATCTGCTCAACCGATTTCAACCAAATTCGGTGCATAACGTTCTTTTCATGTTTTTATGTCATAGTGCGAAAATGGGCGAAATCGGACTTTAACCACGCTTACTTCCCATGTAACACCATTTTCAATTCCATCTGATTCTTTCACTTTCCACTATGCAAATCAGGTAACAATGATTATATCGGGGTAAAACTTTGCGTGAATAATGCAATTGAAGTATGCCACCTTGCGGCCAAAAATTGAACCAAAACTGTTCAAACCCCTAAGTACTAAATATGTGGACCCCAGTGCCTATAGTTGACCTTCTACCGAAAATATCAGTCAATCCACAAAGAAATCTCAAACGAGTATACCATTTGACTTTGCGAGAGTATAAAATGTTCGGTTACATCCGAACTTAGCCTTTCCTTACTTGTTTTTAATCGGGTTTGATTTGTACGGAGAATAATTTCTATAATTTAGCGAAAATTCGTTATTTTTCGGTTCATCCACGGAGAGGACCAGACGATGAAACTGCAGTAGTGGAGGTCTTTTTTAGGCGCCTTCGGAGATCTCGTAAAATCGATAAAAAAAAGTGTAATTTGTTTTGCAAAAACTTCACTGTGGATTCTTGAAAAATGTATAAATATACCAAATAATAAAAAATCGACGCTTTTTTAGGCTGCCACACTAGGATTGCCTCTTAATACAAAATCCGATTTCTTTGTCTTCTTTGGGCGGTATTTATCAAAAAATTGCGACCTTCTTTTCCAACATCTTGTCTGCAATTATATACCATACATTGAAACTTTCACATTTCTAAGTAACACGTTTTGCGCGAAATAATAACTACAATATTGCAGCAGAATATCAGCTGAGCATCAGCAACAGAGTATCAAGTTACAAGGTTGCAGTATTGCGGTAATTATTATGCAGCTCGAACACACCCATAGTCAGTTAGTTTGTTTTTTAGCTTTTTTTTTTGAGTCTGAAACAACAATATCGAAGAGTCGTTTATTGCTTACGTGCTTAGTAGAAAACAATTCATTATGGAGACCAGAGCTGCAAAACAATCGATGGGACTATCGATAATTTTATTTTCGTCTCATTATCGATTTTGACTGCCGATGGTTAATGCCTTAACTAGACATACCAACAATTTTCATAAAATTGTGAAATTTCACTTAATATAGGTACATATTGATAGTCTGATAATACCAAAAGTGAAGTCTAATTTTGAATAACTGGTACACAACATTTTGACGCCACGGTTTTCCAGTATTTTAATAAGAAATTATAATTTAATTTAAATAAGAATTAAAAATTTAATTTTAATAAGAATTAAACCAATGTATTATTAAAGAATAAAGTACTCTACCGAAACGTATATTAAGTATAAATTTCTTAACCTCATATTACATTAGTAAATGTATAAAAAATGTACCTTTTTATAACTCGTCAGCTCTCAGAGCAGTAACATACAAGTATACAACATACAACATATCTCAGTATATACAATAGTAACATGAAAAATTTTATAATGTAAATTTCGTTATCATTTCATAAATTTTAGTTTAAAAATTATATTTCGATAAAAAATAGCATAGGGTGTTTGAATATGAATTTTGCAGACTTTATACTCACAGTGGAGAACAAAACTTCCGTTCCGCAAAACGAAACTTTTTCTCATGAAGATTGGCACTAAATCATAGCAAGTTTGTGCAATAACAACCTAGTGCGAAAACTCTATCGGTAAAAATCAAAATCTACCACGAAACAGTTATAT